ACTTTCAACCAACTTCTGCAGAGCCAAGGCACCTGAGGAAAACAAAATGGCTACTTTTATGACTCCATGAATTTTGCTGTAAACAGGTTTCATTCCCCTAAAAGTTAATGAGCCGGAAGCCTGGGCCCCAGTGTCACGGTGTTAAAAAGTTAAGGTAGGGGCTGGGCTGTTGGCTGTGGTTAAAGCACTTTCTATGTAAGTATGAAGGTCAGAGTCAGACCCATGGCCCCCAGATCTCACATAAATGCTCAGCAGGTGTTGGGGCCCACCTGTAATGCCAGCTTTGGAGGGTGGAGACAGGGGATCCTAGAAAAAGCTGGCTACAGACAGACCTCAGAAGCTTTGCTTTAGCACAAAACTGGATGCAAACAGAAACTTCTACCAAGGCCGAGTAGTGTTGCTGTGATGGTGCCTAGAGTGTGGCAGTGGCTTTAGAGCTCGTAAGGACAGAGGCTGGAAGAGTTTGGAAGACCATGGCTGCAAACAAAGCATTCAAGGCAGCTATGGGGAAAGCTCGGAAGATAAGAAGCCTCGGAAGGAGCTATGTCTTCTTAGAGACTGGCTAAGCAGTCATGACCAGGATTTTCTTTAAAGAATAAGCATAGTAAAGGCTATACCGACAAGGTCACAGGGTGCAAAGGTTGGGGGGGGGGGCGTTCCTTGTTATAAAGCAGTGAAGACTAGCTGAAAAGCATTCATGCCCCAGGGTTTGTGGAAGGCCAAATTTAAGGATGATAACTTGGGGCATTTGAAAGAAACTTCTAAGCAACATACAGAAGAAGCTATTGGGTAGTTTTTGTGTTTTGTTTTGTTTTTTAACAAATGACAAAATTTAAGGACAATTAGATGTATGTAGTACATTAAAATAACACCGAGTTATGGCCCAGTCTCTGGTAACATATAGGCAAAATTATAAAGTGATTGTGCTCTATTAGTGGAACTGTGAGAAACAAATTTTTAATTTCATTTTACATTCCAACCACAGTTCTCCCTCCCTCACTCCCCCGGCCCCAGCCCACCCCCAGTCCACAATTTGGGTAGTTTTAAACCACATGCAGTAAGATTAGGGAGCAGTGGTGATGGCCTAACGGTAGAATTTATCATTAAGACAGTGCTTGCCAGGCCTGCAGAAAGTCCAGGTTTCATTCCACAGCACGTTTTTTTTTTTTTTTCAAGATTTATTTATTTATTATGTATACAGTGTCTGTCTGCATGTATGCCTGCAGATCAGAAGAGGGTACCAGATTTCATTATAGATGGTTGTGAGCCACCATGTGGTTGCTGGGAATTGAACTCAGGACCTCTGGAAGAGCAGCCAGTGCTCTTAGCCTCTGAGTCATCTCTCTAGCCTTGCTAGTGAACTTGTTGTAGTGGCCACACCCTTTGGGCATGGTCTCTGGGGCAGATGTGACCCCCTTAAGGTAGAGGAGAGGTGCATGCTCTCTTGGGTTTTGGAGAGCACTGGAAAAGCAGAGACCGCATCTTCTCGAGCAGGAAGACCTCGGCGGTTATTTCCTCTTATCCGTGTAAGCCCTTCCCTAATAAACACCTATTGATCATTTATCTTGGGTCTGGCGAACTCATTTAAACCTCTGCCTTTACAGGCTGTCCCACTCACTTCAGATCCAGAGGTTCAGGGGTAGCATGGTTGCAGGGTAAACTAGGGGGCTGCTTTCTAGGGCTACCTACCCAGACCTCAGCTTGTCCTTTCCCAGTACAGCCACCCAGTCACTGCTTAAATGGGCTTGTGTATAGCTGGTGCCACTGGTGAACCAGAGGGTTAAACTTAAAAGTCCTAGCAGAGTGCAAGGACTATTATGTTCGATGCACACAGAACACAGTAGCTATGCAACCACAGTGGTTTGGAAAGATTAGAGACAGGAGGAGGAGGAGGAGGAAGAGGAAGAAGAAGGAAGAGGGAGAGGAGGAAGGGGAGGAGGGAGGAAGAGGGAGAGGAGGAGGAAGGAGAGGAAGAGAAAGTAGCCTCCTGGTAACTTGATCCAGCAGGTTGGAACACCTACTCCAAAGCCTGCTGACCTGAGTTGGAACCCTGGAACCCACATGGTAGGAGAAAGCCATAAATTATCCTCCAGACATGTCATGTCACACTCATGGGCACACATGCACACACACATAAGCAAGCAAACAAATAAAAGGGGAAAAAAACTTATAACTTAAACAAAAATAAAAAAACAAGTCCAGGTAGTTAGGCAGGAGCTTGCTAGAGGGGCACAGGCATCACAGCCTCCTTTAAAGGCCTAGGAGAGCCAGACCAAGGAGCCCAGGAAAGTAGGGTAACATCTGATGGGGAAGCCCTGCAGGTGAGGCTGCTGGAGATTTAGGGGGGCACCTCCAACCCACTGTGCCCCAGATGTAGGTCTTGGGGCTTTCAAACATGTCTACACTGATGGGTTTCAGTTTTACAGGGCTCTGTGCCCTTTCTCTCTCTGGCCAATTTCCCCTTCTCTCACTCTCCACATTGTCTTGGATACAAGTAACTTCTTAACTTCACTGGCTCACAGCAGAAAGGGGTTTGTCTTGATCCCACTCTAGACTTTGGCTTGGTACTAACAAGACTCTCGGGACTATTGCACAAATGAATACATTTTGCCTTATGAGAAGGACATGAAGTTGGGAGTGGGGTGGAATGCTGTGGTTTGGAAGTGGTCTTCCTAAAAGACGTGTGTGTGTGTGTGTGTGTGTGTGTGTGTGTGTGTGTGTGTGTGTGAGTGTGTGTGTGAGTGTGTGTGTGTATGTGTTGAAGGCTTGACCCCCAATGTAACAACATTGGAAGGCTCTGAGGCACCTAAGAGGTGGGGCCTAAAGGAAGGAGTTTGTGTTTTAACTATCGGACTCCCAAGAGTGAATTAATTCCCACAAACAGGCTGTTATTAAAAAAAAAAAAAAAAAAGAAAGCCTGGTCTCCTCCCATACTCTCACTTACTTTCTTCTTCTTCTTCTTCTTTTTTTTTTTTTTTGGTTGTTCAAGACAGGATTTCTCTGTGTAGCTCTGGCTGTCCTGGAATTCCCTCTGTAGACCAGGCTGGCCTAAAACCAGAGATCCACCTGCCTCTGCCTCCCGAGTGCTGGGACTAAAGGTGTGAGTCACCACTGCTCTCACTTCATTTTTTACGGTATGACCTCTCTCTTGAAACCACAAACAAGCTCCTGTCATGTGATGTTACCCATCATGATACATACAGCAAGAAGACCTCCATCAGAGGCTAGCTAAATGGAGCCACCTATTTGGACTTTCAACTTTCAAAGTTGTGAACAAAGAGCACCTTTTTCTTTACAATTTATTCATTCTTCAGCATTGTATTATAGTTAAACGAAACAGACTAAGACTCGGGAGCAGATCATACCCAAAGGACACTCCAGCTGTAGGTTTTTTTTCCATTTTAGCAAAGTCAGTTTGAAAGTCAAACCAATTCTAATCGATACAAAGCAAGTTATAGAAACACAGCCTTCCTCAATAAGGCCATTGCTGGGTTTTATGGATGTAACTCCTATTAACTCACACCAGCCACAGCATGTTCAGATTAATAGATTTCTCATGGGACAGCTCAGAGTCATATGACTGAGTTGTTTAGAGTTCTCCTAAAACTAAACCGAAGCCCTTTGCACTCTTTAAAGACCAGTCACGGGGCTGGAGGGTTAGGATTAGGGTTAGGGTTAGGGTTAGGGTTAGGGTTAGGGTTAGGGTTAGGGTTAGGGTTAGTTCCTTTGCTATTCTTCCACAGGACCTGAGTCTCAATCCCAGTACCCATCAGCTACCTGTAACCCCAGCTCCAAGGGATCCTCTTCCGGCCTCTGCTGACAGACAGGAACACTCAAACACATACACATAAATAAAAATAAATCTTAAAAAAGAAATCTATCTTTTGGACATTGTCCTGGCTGGTTTTGTGTGTCAACTTGACACAAGCTAGAGTCATCAGAGAAGAAGGAGCCTCAGCTGAGGAAATGCCTTCATGAGACCCAGCTGTAAGGCATTTTCTCAATTAGTGACCAGTGGGGGAGGGCCCAGCCTATGCTGAGTGGTGGCATCCCTGGGCTGGGGGTCATAGGTTCTATAAGAAATCAGACTGAACAAGCCAGGGGATGCAAGCAGCAAGCAGCTTCCTTCCATCGCCTCTACATTAGCTCCTGCTTCCAGGTTCCTGCCCTGTTTGAGTTCCTGTCCTGACTTCTTTCAGTGATGTGGAAGTGTAAAAGCCAAATAAACCCTTTCCTCCCAACTTGCTTTTTGGTCAGGGTGCTTCATGGCAGCAATAGAAACCTTAACTACAATAGGCATGGTGATAAACATACATAATCCCAGTTCTCAGGAAGCTGAGGCAGGAAAAGTGCCAGCCAACCTCGGCTATATAAGGAAACATTGTCCTAACAAAACAAAAACAAACAAACAAAACCCATATATTCGTGGTTTTGTTTCCTTGTAAAGTCTTCTAGAATTACATCTGAGCAAAATCCCCCTGAGAAAGCTTCAGTCCACGGCCCTACCAGGCATTCCACAGGCCTCTCAATTTCTACAGGCTGAAATCAATCTAGAACTTTTTAGTCCCTTTCTTTCTTAGAAGTATCAGGTCTTCAGGAATGGTTTATTCTCTCTCTCTCCCTCCCTTTCCCTCTCCCTCTCTCTCCCTCCCTCCCTCTCCCTCTCCCTCTCCCTCTTCCTCTCCCTCTCTCTCTCCCCTTCCCTGCCCTTTTCTCTCACCTGGAATTAGCTATGTAAACTGTCTGGTCTTGAATTTATAGAAATTCAGATCCATTTTTGCCCAACACAACCCCTTCCTCTCACAACTTGCGTCCACCACACTGCTGGTAACATCTGTTTTAGCTCAAAAGGTTCTGCATCTTGCACAACTTCTCCATGGAATCTCAGACACTGGCAAGCTAAGTTCCCCTATCATTTACTATTTATCACGTTTCTCCCCCACTTCCAGCTTCGCTATCCCAGTGCCCAGCCCCAGGTGGTTATGCAGCTGCCGGGTTACCTGTAGTTCGTGCAAGCGCAGCACATAGCCCCGTAGGAATAGCTGGAATAAAAAGCGCAGCTGTCCGGGACTGGGAAGATCCTCCAGACTCCGCAGCTGCCGCTGCTTCTGACCTCCTGTAGGACCCTCCACACTCTCGTCTGCCCGAAGGGCCGCCGGGATCGCTGCCTTGGTTCTGGCCCCCTGTGGGCAGAGTCCACGACCCACCACACGCGTGCCCAGGAGGGCCCACCTCAGCCTTGTGCAGCTGAACGCAGCCATGAATCGTACCTGCGAAGCCAAGAGTTTGGATCCAGAGGCTGGACACCCCAACCAGAGGCAGAACCCAGGACTCTTGGGACCGGGCGTGTCTAAAAGTAGAAGTGACCTGGGGGCGGGCCGATAGAAGTCCAGCCAGATTCTTTATTACCCTTTGTCAGGATCTAACAAATAAAAGTGCCACTTCCTCCTGTTGCCAAGATCCCTACCAAAGAGGCAGTCAGAAGTGGACGGTGTGATCCAGGGAGAAGTCTGATCCAGGGAGAAGTCAGGCAGCCTCCTCCACGGATTCACAAGAACTTGGCTGGCTGTGAGCTGGATGGAGCACAGAGGTCAATTTCCAAGACCTTCAGACCCCACCCCACCCAAGACCTTCCTTTGCATGACCGGAAGAGGGCAATCTCTGGTGTCCCTCACTTTTCCAGATGGCCCTGGAACTCGCTGCTGTTACCCCGAGGCTGAGTCTGAGTGTGGAGCTTGGGGAGCTAAAGCAGTCCAGCAGCAAAGGTCATCGGCGCCAGGAGAGGAGGAAAACAGAAATCGCGGTTATTAGTGGTTTTAAAAACACAGTATCCGACCACCACCACCACCACCACCACACCCTCTCACCCAAGTCTTGCCAAGGCAGGATTTTCCAGCCTTCAGGTTGAGAACAGATTTAGGGATTTGATTTTGTTTTCGTTTTCCCGTTTTTGTTTTTTTGTTTTTTGTTTTTAAAAAAGAGAGTCTCATCGTGTAGCCCAGAATGGGCTCAGTTCTCCACCTTCCTGCTCCAACCTCCAGAGTGCTGGATTAAAGATCTTTTAAGGACCAAGAGTGGTTGAGCACCCCTTTAATCCCAGCACTGCAGAGGCAGGTGGATCTCTGTGAGTTCCAGGCCAGCCTGTCTACAGAGTGAGTTCCAAGTCAGCCAGAGCTACAGAGGCTCTGTCTCAAAAAACAAAACTAATAGTAATAATAATGATGAAATTTTTAGGAGGAGGAGGGGCTGGATAGATGGTTGGTGTTTCAGAGGACTCTGGTGACCCACAAACTTCCAAAACCTTCTGCTGGCACCAGGCAAGCAAGTGGTGCATAGACAACATTCGGGAAAAACACCCACACACAATAAATAAATTCTTAAAATTTTATTAAAAAAGACAGCACTCCATGTGGCCTGGCTTCACAATTATTTTAATAGAGTGAAAAAGAATGAAATGGTACAGAAAAACTTGCTGCAAGAAGAAAAAGCCGTATTTCATGAATTCTTTGTTTTATATGTTTATTTCTTTTGTTGTTGTTGTTGGGTTTTTTGTTTGTTTGTTTCCAGACAGGGTTTCTCTGTGCAGCTCCATCTATCCTGCCTCGAGTGTTGGGATTAAAAGCATATGCCACCAATGCCCGGCTAGAAGTGTAGCTTTCAAAAAATTAAAAAATACAGGGCTAGAGATGTAGCTCAGCAGTTAGTTGCACCTGTTGCTCTTGTAGAGGACCCAGGTTTGAGTCCCAGCACCGACATGGTGATTCACAACCAGTTGCCTTCTTCCAACTTCCATCGGGGCCAGACACAAACATAGTACATATACATATGTGCAGAGGGAAAACCACATAAAATGCATAAATCTCATTTTTAATGGAAAGCATGACTTATGCAAATGTAAAATAAACATGGGGTTTGGGAATACAGTTCAGTGGAAGAGCACTTGCCTAGGATGATGAAGTCCTAAGCTTTATCCCTGGGTATCCTCAGCTACGTAGCTAGTTCAAGGCCAGCACACACTACATGAGACCCTGTCCCAAAGAAAATAAATAAGCAAAGGATCAAAGATGTTTTAACCAGTAGATGTAGAAGCCAGCAAGACCGGAAAAAATAGGTTTTAACAGCAGGTCAAGGGTTGGTTTTGTTTTGTTTTGTTTTTAGCCACCCAGAAGAGGGAAACAGGCATATTGGTTTCAAACAATTGGACTGACAGCTAATGTGACTAGGAGTGGAGTTCTTATTTATTCTAGTGTTCATCTTTTTAACCCAATGCAGAGGGTTAGCCCCTTAGGAAATGGCAAGGCTGTAATCACAACTAGACAATAAAAGAAGTTCACTACCTGCAGCAAGCAAGGAAAACACCAGGGGTAATTTTAAAGACTGTATTCTCCCCAGGGAAATAAATGGCTTTTTATTAGGGTAAACTATGCATCTTTATATAGGAAAGGCTCATTACATGTTGAAGTGGGCACATCCTTGAGCATGCCCAGCTCATTTCCCTCACTCTCTCTCACCTGCTCTTTCCTGCCTTTCAAATAGTTCCTTCTTTTATGTATTAGACACACGTGTACATACATGCTCTTTGTATACATGTTCATGTGTGTACATGCCCATTCATGAATGGGTATGTAGATCTCAGAGAGTAACTGTATTAGTTCTTTTCTATTGCTATGATGAAACATCATAACCAAGTTTGTTGTTGTTTCTCTGGGTAGCCCTGGCTGCCCTGGAACTTGATCTGTCAACCAGGCTGGCCTTGAACTCAGAGATCCACATACCAAGTACTGGATTAAAGGCATGGGCCACCACCATCTGGCTATGCAACAAGCATTTTGTTGACTGAGCCATCTCCCAGTCTCTAATATTAGCTCTGAATTCAACAAATGATAGAAAATGTTTTTCTGTATCTGACTTTTGACTTAACATAACAACCTCTAGTTCTATAGATTTACTGACATAATTACAATCATCTTTAGAATACTAGAGTAAAACTTCATTTTGTCTATGTTCTACCTTTTCTTTATCCATCTGGGCTGGTTCCATGATTTGCCTGTGATGAATAGTACTGCAGTTAACATTAGAGGTTGTGATGGATAGTTTTATGTCAACTTGTCACAGCTAGAGTCATCTGAGAGGAGAGAACCTCAGTGGAGACAATGCCTCCATAATAGTGGATGTGGCAAGCTGGTCGGGGATTTTCTTAG